TATTCACTTCAGTTCATAGTCTAGAGACCAGAGGAGGCAGGTCTGGGTGGATCAGAGAAAGCCACCATCCCCTACGAACAACCTCTTGGCATAAGACTTTTGTCATTCTTGGAGTGGGAGTAGAGGACATTCTGAGACATGAAATAGATTCTTGGTGACCAGACAGGCTAGATTTGGGTGAAACATTCTCTAGCTGGTCCTCAAACTTGTATGTGCTTCTACATAGGAGCACAATAAGGTGGTGGCTTCTGGGCCATCTCGGAAGCTCAGCTGTAGCTCCAGGACTGAGCTACGGGTTTGGAACACAATGTGGGCGGGAAGAGCCTCTCTGGGCCCAGTCCATGGAAGCCTCCCGCTTCTGATCCCTTGCTCATTCCTGCACCTTGAGAAGCCATGATGTAAAGATGACACAGACACAAGATGGAAGGAGATGAGGCCCTGAGTCATTACTAGAACAGCTCCCATCAGTCAGAAGCATTGTTCACAACTCACGGGAAAGAGACTACAGGTCTCTGTTAAACCTCTGAGGTTGTGGAGTGTCCATTATACCAACGAGTGCCACTCTGGACGCTCCTAGGAATCCAGACACGTGCTTCCGTGTGCCTGTGTGATGAGGCCTGCATATGCCTCTGAGGGTCTCGTTCCTGGGTGGGTGGCACTAAGGAGAGGTGTGTGTAGGGTAAAGGCATGGCACTGGTGTTCTTCTGGCACATGTGAACCTGTACACATAGGAATGTCTGTTTCCACTCTCCTAGGCACATGCCCCTAAGCGCATGTGCATGTCTACAAAACTGGATGACCCTGGGCATGTAGGTGTGTCCTTGTGCGTCTGGATGGCTGTGTACACACCCCTGGGAAGGAACACACAGCAGACACTGGGTCTGAGTGTGCAGATGCCATACGGGTCTGCAAATAAGTGTGCGCTCATCTGTGGGCCGCTATATGCGCACCACTGAGCAGATACACCTGTGTCTGTGAGTATTTGTGTGGGCCATTTCAGGTCCGTGGGTGGGTGCATGTGTGTGTGTGCCCCTTTGGGGGTCTGGGTGAATATGGACATACTTGTGTATATCAAACATGTGTGTCTCTATGGAGAATATATACACATGTACATATCTGTGAGACTGAGTGTGTGTGTGTACATATGCTTCACAGAGTCTCAGTCTAAATGTGTGTGTGTGTGTGTGTGTGTGTGTGCATGTATGGATGTGCTTCTCAAGGTCCTCTCTCTTGAGGACAGTGTGAGGGTGCAGGTCTATGAGGACGAACAAATGTGTACATACGCAGGAAAGACTTCTGAGATCTGAGTACTGGCGCCCCCTCTGACAACACAAACCCGTGCTCTTTTGGTCTTACTACATATTCACACCTTGGTGTGTAGAGGCCCCTTCTGCGGGGACAAACATGTGGGTCCATGAGTACCTCCCTCCACGGGTGGACATTTGCATTTTGCTGAGTACCCGTGGACAGAAATATGACACCTGTGCACACAGACATGAAGGGCACTTCTGTGGAAGAAGACATGTGTGTGCATGCTTCCATGAGGGTGCTCCATGCCTAAACACGAATGCTGTGTCTGTGGTTAGGAAATACGTGAACATCTGGGAGTCCGAACGTGTATGTGGGACTGTGGTCTGCACACATATGTGAGCAAGTGTTACACAGGTGGCTAGGTCCACAGATAAATGCCTTTGTGAGCTGAGCATGGATGTCCGGCCGTGAGTTCAAGGACATGTCACAAGGCATGTACTCTGAGAGTCAGGTGAGTGTGCACACACAGGTCTGAACATGCAGTGCGTGCCCCGAGTGCACATGTCTGAGATTTGCTGCCTCAGAGCACGTCTTATGCATGGGCAGATGTGAGCATGTGAGAGCTGCCTCTGTGGGTCTCAGCGTGTGTTTCCACACAGCCCTGAGTGTGGATGCCTTGGTGCAGCTGCGCACGTGCAGGTGTGACTCTCTGGGGCTGAGCAGGCCAGCAGCTGGGAGGCAGCTCTGGGTGTTCAGGAAGCTCTACACATACACATGAGACACTCAGTGCCTCTGGTACACAGCATGCTTCACGGGACTGTGTACACTATACAGCTTTGTGTTTCTCTGGACTTCTCAGGGCATCTATGTGGGCATGCACATGACTCTTTGGATCTAAGCATCTATGTGCCTCTGTTGATCTGGGTGTAAATGGTTTGCACTTTACATAGTGTGTGTGTGTGTGTGTGTGTGTGTGTGTGTGTGTGTGTGTGTAGCTATATGTGATCTTCCAGACCATGTGTGTGATTGTGTATATATGAGTGTATGTGTGTTCCCCTGGTTAGAGCACATGTGTGTGCATATGGATTTATGCCTCTGTGGATATAAGTCTTTATGTTCTTCCTGTTTCAGGAGTACAAAGTCCATAGTCCTGCAGGGGCCAGGCTGGAAATATAATGTATAGGCTAGGACATCTGGGCCAGCAAGCATGGTATGCCATATTACCAACTGTGGGTGTGTGTCCTTTCTTAAAGGAACTCCCGCTAGGGAAAATTCTAACAATACTCGTGTGACTGACCCTCCAGCCTTGAGAGAAAGAATGCACTAGATGACAGGCTCACTAGGCAGGGAAAGAACAGGACTCGGAGTCTGTGGAGGGGCTGAGTGAACGGAAGGGATGGGAGGTGGACAGGCCAAACAGGGATGGCCCCATGGTCCACACGCCCACCCAGGGATGAAGATCTGGAAGCGGGGAGGAGAGACACCCTAGGGTCAGACCCTGAGCAGCCTGTCACTAGCCAAGCTCCTGGTGCTCTACAGAAGCTTCCTTATCCTGGGGCCCCAAAGTGGACTCTGATTGGAGAAGCCAGGATGAGAGGTGGGGGAACATGGTCCAGGCCAGCCAGGGCACCCCGAAGTCATCTTGGTCCCTGCCTGGCTTCCCATGGGGAGATGAGGACAGTGGGCATTCCAGAGCTATGGATTATTATGATGTAGGTGAGTGCCCTGGGCACTCCGAGGACCACTCAGCGCTGCTGCCATCAGGGCTTATTTTCAAAGCCGGGCCACACACCAGCCCTCCCCACTCCCAGTCTCCAGTCCTCCTTCGCCTCCATTACCTTCCCCTTACACGGTGGCTCTTTTTACAGAAGAATGGCACAGTGGTCAGTGATTTCTGGGAGCCCTGACTTGGAGCAGATGACCCTTCAGGACCACCATACCCTCTTATTCTAACAGAGCCTGAAATAACTCAGGACAGCAGAGAGCAGAGCATATTATAGGTCACGCCCAAGCTCCTAGATAGACTCTGGGCTGGGGCATCAGACCCTCCGGGTATGGCCCTGGCCAGCCGTGTGTGTGTGTGTGTGTGTGTGTGTGTGTGTGTGTGTGTGCGCGCGCGCGCGCATAGTTGAGGTAGAGCAGAAATATATCGTCACAGAGCTTGTGTCCCAGAAGGAAAGGTGAGGCTGCACCCCTTCCCCATGGCATTCCCTACCCAGAATTCTCACAGGTCATTCCTTGTAGCCATTTACGGCAAAGCCGGCTGTAGGAATCCCCAGTCACTGTCCATGGCTTTGATGGGTTAGACAGTGCTGGGCGGTGCTGTGGACAGGCCTCATGCCCAAGGGTCTGCTGTGTAGAGGAGGAGAGGGGTGGCTCCCAGCAGAGGGGCCTCCTGCAGAGGAGAGCATCTGCTCCCAGAAGCACAGGCCCTGAGCTGTGGACAGAGAGGCTTTCCTGCCCAGAAGCTGACACTTCCCACAAGTGCCCCTGGTGCAGGACCACAGAACAGCCCCACTCAGCTCTGGACTACTGGGGACAAGAGAGATACAGGGAAGGGCATCAGCCTGTGGGTATGGAGGTCTCCACGCCTGCTCTGTGACCAGGACCCCAAGGCTCCACTGTCTATGACTGTTCCCTATCTACCCACACTCTAACTGGGTGGCAGCCTGCCCTCGGCTTCAGTGTCTCTTCTGGAGCTGATAGGCCCTCCAGATCCCTGACTCCAGGTCGGATTCACAGCCTTCTCCATCCCTGCATGCACCTACCCCAGCCTTGCTGAAACTTCTAGCCCAGATACAACCATGGCAAGGTAGTGTAGAGAAGTCTCTGGGAAGCCAAGCATGAGATGTGGGTGTCCCCTCTACTCCCAAGGGCTCATCCAGGCTGTAGCCAAGGCCTGTGCTCCCCGACGGGAAGCTCCCACCAGCCACATTCAGTCAGTCCTTCTCCAGTCTTGCTCTCGGCCCCCAGTGCCCATCCCCCAATGCTCGGCCACTGCCAACCTGCTCAGATGAGCAGCCCAACAACCACCAGGCCACCCGACTCTCATGCTCTCAGCCAGCATGCAAAGCACCCCCACCCCAACTTGCTCAGCTTCTCTCTGTCGCTGTAGCCTTGCAGAGTCCTGTGTCACCACTGCTCAGGAAGCCCTTCCCACAGCTTGTTCTCCTGTATCCACCTCAAGCTAGGCTCTCCCCAGGGGAACTGTATTTCTGGCCCCGATACAGAGGTTCCATGGAGCAACTGCCCACCTTGGCCTGACAACCTGGGAACCCTTTCAAGAACACCAGGTAAGTCCCTGAGGCTGAGCAGGAGGTCAAGGGAGCGCCAACAGAGACCTCAATGAATGGCCAAGAGAGCGCCAATCTTCAGGGCTGATGGGAGTTGTGGTTCTGGACCTGAAGGCTGGTGGGAATTGTAGTTCCTCACCTCCCATTCCAGAACTAATGGGAGTTGCAGTTCCTCATGTTTCTACAACCACATCTCCCTCTTTTTTCCCAATTCCTCTTGGCTCTCCACCCCTAGGAGCCCAGCTAAAGACTTCACTATCCCCAAGGATGGGACACCAAAAGGCACCTTGTTAGAGGGCATGTGAGGGACCTGGGGTCTTCTGAGTTACAAAGGGACTGCAGGAGAGAGCTAAAGCCTGCAGCACACCCTGGGCTGGGGCCAGGTGGCAGACAGTCGCCCCCCTCCCCAGCAGCGTCGCAGGGGCCCGGGGCAGGGGAGGGGGGAAAGGCACTCACCAGTACTAGGCTCACACTCCTCCAGGTCCTCATCATCGCTTGGACACTCAGCCGAGGCCACCAGGAGGTCATCTGTGTTCTGGGGGGATAAGGGGAGGAATAGGGAAACAGAGGGTTCCAGTGGGTGAGCAGATCCCACAACTGCTTCCCAGGGTTGGAGGGCAGCACAGAAAAGAAGCCCAAAGCCAAGCCCAGTCCTCTCATCACTTGTGACTTAGCCTCTCAATTTCCCATGCTAAAGGATGCTAAACAGAGCCAACTTTGTGGTCCCCATGGCCCTCAAGGATCAGACATGTGTTAAGTCCTTTACACCGGGGAGGCGGGGGATGGGATCACACTTGGGCTGCTCGGTGTATACCCAGGGTCCAGGGTGCTTGGGGCAGGGCCATGGCACAGAGACGGGGGATCAGAGACTGGAGGGTTCCCCATCTCCAGCTTCCCCATCACTTCTCATCTTTCCCAACCCCCTTCCACAGAGAGAACCAGGCTCCGCACAATAATTAGGGCTATGGTTGCCATGACAACAGGAGTCGACTTTGTCAGCATTTTCTCTCCTTCTGATTGCAAAGAAAGAGGATCCCTGAGATGAGTGAGCCTGAGGAGGAAGGGAAGGGAAGCTGGGGGGGGGGGGTAGGAAAGAGAGCCACAGAGGGAGACCCAAAGTCCAAGGAGGAAGGGAGGCTGGGAGACTACGCCAGGGTGGAGGTCAAGACCCAGGGTGAGAGAGCCCCATCCTACTGCTCCCTAGCTTCAACTTCAGACCAACAGCCCTTGCCCAAGGACAAATCATGGACTCTTATTCCCTGCTGCCTCCTTTCCCCCTTTCTTTCCACCGGCCCCAGTATCTCTCTGGGGTTATCCACTCTCTTTCCCACACAGCTGGTCTGCCTACCCTCTTCTATTAAGATCAGATGTGATTTGGAAGGCCTGGGTGGGCAGGCAGCCAGTCCAGGGGAGCCTAGGCCTTCCTCTTAGGGCTCTCCACTCCCTAGAGAAAAGTCCCTGGGCATTCAGATCCCCCAGATCTCTGGGCACCGAAGACAGAGGAGCCTTATAGATTGTCTCTCTCTCCTACCCAGCCTAGCCCAGGGTCTCTACAAGACAGACTGGAAAGAAAGAAGAGCCTAGAACCCAGCAATCCTAACCCTAGGGGAAGCTGAAAACAGACTGGAGTGGGGAGAAATATCCTCATGGACACCCCAAGATTCTTCTGGGCCTGCAGGCTCAACAGCCAAAGCAGTGACTTGGGGAGGGGAGACGGAAGCACTATGGAGTTGAGGTGGCTCAGCTAGGTCACTGTGACAGGTACAAGCCCTCCATAACCAGTACTCAGCACAGGCATTGGTGACAGATAGGGAACCTAGCTGCTGGGCAGTCCCATACACCCAGAAAACCAGACCTGGCTGCTGCTCAGAGCCTTGTGTCCTTGGTGTGGCCCCCTCTAAACTCCAACCAGATCCAGGGAGCTCCTGAACTGCCGATGGCTGTGTGTGTAGATAAGGCACAAGGAACTCTACACGGCCATTCAGAGCACACACTCCAGGGAGGAGGCAGAGGCCTAGCCAGTTGAGGTGCTTGGTTCTCGCTCCAAGTCACGTGTAGAAGATATGTGAAGGCCAAGGACTTAGTCTTGGCCTGTGTCACCCAAGAGAGACTCCAGCAGAGGCAGAGGCTGCTCCTAGCCTCTACCAGCCTCTGCCCTGGGAGACTGCATGTCACCACTCCAGTGTGTCATCTCGGCCCAAGATGCCACCATCCAACTCCAGTTGGCCCACTAAGCTCTGGAATGGTCACCCTCTTCACTATTCCCTCGATCTGCATGCAGATTTCCCTTCTCAGGCTAGGATGTATGGGCTTCTCCGTCAACTGCCCTCAATTCTGGACCCCCTAGAAACAGTGGTCACCCCTGTATGGCCAGTATCACTGATTACCATGTGAGGACCTTCTTCTCCTGAACCATCACCATGACAAGAAGGTCAGAAGGAGCTGTCTCCAGAACCATCCCACTTCCAAAGCCCCTTGAAGGGGTCTCACCTGGGTGGTGCTGTCCCTCATTGTGGGGGAGCGGCCCCGGCGAGTGGTGGTGGTGGCCATGGTGGTGGTGGTCTCCATGATGGTGGTGGCCATGTCAGCCAGCAGGGTGGTGGCAGTGGTCTCCGCACTGAGCAGCACGGACGGCCCCTCTCCTACTAGGCGTAGGTGGCCTTCGGTCCGCACGTTGGGGTCGCTCTCGGCGGCCAGCGCCAGTACCTTGAGCCCATTGTAGTAGAGGCCGGACACCTGGCCCTGGAAGGGGCGGCCCTGATCCCGGCCCCCAATCTTGATGGCAGCCTGGCTGTTGAAGATGGTCAGCTGGCGTCCTGGGGGTTGAGGATGGGGTGGGAGGAGCAGACAGAGGAGAGGCAGGCAGTCCAGGTAGGCCAGGAAGGGATGGGAGAGTGGAGAGAGCAGGGGGAGGAGGTGGAAGCCAGGAGGGAGCCAGCACGCAGATGGGGGAGGAATGAGGAAGAGGCAGACAACCAAGGGAAAGTCCTTGTTAACCAGAGCCCCTAGCCTGGTCACGTGGGACCCCCACAGGAGAGGGTCGCCAGGACACACATGGGCTAGGAAAGGGAGCCTGGTCACCCCCTGTTCCCACCATGTACATGCCTCTCCACCTGCACCTGCCCCCCTTTCTGATCCCTCCCCGGGGCTAGCACCCCTTTTCCTTATCCTTTAGTTCCACCCCGGCTTCTCTGTCTGCTCTCCCAAACATCCCACCCAATGTCCAGCCCCAAGCCATGGTGTCCTCCAAAGCAGTAGACCATGGCAACCAAGACAGAGACAGGAGGGAGTCCTGCCAGGCCAAGGTAGACTTGGTAAGTGTGAGCAGAAGAAGCAACAAGATGGGGGACAGAGAGTGTGGGTCTGCTCCGGGCTGGTTCACCCATAGTGCCCTGTGATGGCTGGTCAGGCTGTCTAGCCTCTCCTGCCAAGCCACTGCCCTGGGGCAGGCCCTGGGGAGCACAGCCCTTCCCCCAGTATGGACGTGCAAGCCCAGAAAAGGAAAATGTTAAAGGGACCTTGCTTGGCTTGCTGACAGCCAATATAACTGCTCCAACTTCAACCCGGCCTTGCACTTGGCAGTGTTATATGCCTCTGAATGGCCCCTGCAGGGAGCTTGGCTGCTTGCTTTGGTTTTAGTGAACCTGGGGGGGTCAGTTTAACCCTCTGAGTTTGTTGGTTTGGTTTGTTTGTTTTTTTTTTTTTTTAGAAAAGATATTTATTATTTTTAAGTTTAGATTTTAAAACTTTGGTTTTGGTGTTATTGGGGAGGGGGCAGATGGAGTACAACTGTGCCCCGCGCTCCCACGGACCTTCAGCTGCTTTCATTTAAGGCCTGCCTTAACCCTTGTTAGCCTCAGGTTAGTGCCTCGTTAGAGATCTGTTTAGAGTTAGAAACCTGTGACCCCTGCCCCCCAAACCTGGGCTGAGACAGTCCAACGTGTGACCCATACTCTCTTTAGAAACAGGCTCTCCAGGACTCCCAAACGTCTGTCCAACCAAGGATGTCATTAGTGTCTCCACAACCCCCTTACTCAGACTCTCCTCCCCCAGCACCCTCCTCCTTCAGCCTCAAGTAGAGATGCCCCCTCCAACAGCCATGCTTCCTTACATATGATGGAGCCCAGCCCACACAGGCAGAAGCTGCTGCCTAAGAATTCTAATGAGAACAAAGGGGAGAAGGGTCCTAGGGGCCCGATGAGTTCTCCGTGAAATGAATGCCTTCCCAGAAAGTCTTCTCAGAGCCTTTACAAAACTAATGTCCACATGGACTTCTGGAAGTCGAACCTGCTGGGCTGCAGGTCTCTTTATTACACCCCCTGGATCTGCTGCTCCAGATGTCCCAGAAGTGGAAAGTGGAGCCATCCCATAAACATTTATTGAGCCCCTACTGTATCCCAGCAACTGACAAGAAAATATCCCCTCCAAGACCATGCAACCCAAACTGGAACAGCCTATGCCTTCTTCTCACGGTGCAGATGAAGTGGGCTGAACCAAGACCAAGGAGGGAGCTAGGCTCACAGGGTCAGTACTGGGCCAAGAGTGAGCTCCTCCTTCTCTTCTAGAAGAGTCAACTAAACATAGGCTTAAGGAGAAGGTGTGGTTGCCACTAGTAAGGCCAAGGAGCTCCTCCCTTCTCCAGGGCCCCCCAAGTCATCTTCTTCTCCAACAGCTCTCCCTACCTACCTGGGGGGGTGGGTACCACAGTTGTTCCAGCCTCAGCCCAGGCTCCTCCCTTGGCCTTTCTGATTCTAGGAGGGGAGGGTGGATAAAGGAGAGGAGGCCAAGGCCTCTGCCCCCACCTGTCATGAATGCCTCAAAGGGTTAAAGTTCGCCCCGCTGGAGAGAGCAGCCCAGTGCGGCTGGGGGGTGCAGGTTTTAGCCATGTCTGTTACAGTCCCTTTAACTTTTGTGTCCTGCTGTGGGTTTATCACATCTGGTTATCAGCGTGTTTAGGCCCCATGGGTTCAGGGGCTGGAATTTACTTTGGGGGATTTTATTGGGAAAAGTCCCATGGACATTTAGAGCACAGTTATCAGCTGGTTAAGTGGTGGTTTAGTACTTCTGCTCCCCACTAGAGTTTAGCCTTAGAGGTACAGAGCTCGCCCCTCCTCCAACAGGAATAACACTGCTATGCCCTTGGCCCCCAACTTCCCCTGGTGACAAGAAGCCTTCCCCTCTCACATAGCAGTACCTCACTTGCCACTCAAGGGCCTCTTAGGGACCCACTCTGTCTTCTCAGCAGGCCAGCGGCAGGAATGTCAAAGAATCCCTAAGAGAGCGCTGCGCCTCCCCTTTCTCCCTTCAGACTGAACTACTTCTAAGGGGCCTGAGACCAAGGCCTTAGAGGCTCCAGCTCGTCCTTTCCCCTCAGGATCGCCTGCTGAGCCTTCCTTGCTTCCCAAACCCTTCCCACCTTTAGGTGTCCCGTGGCCCCTTACTAAATCCCTTAGGTGAAATTGGCCAGAGGGACCCGGCTTTCTAGCCTGTGTCCCCTCCTGCTGCCGAAGTCATAGCTCAGCACGTGCCGAGGGCACCGCCATCTTTCAAGGGCCAGTCTAGGAAGACACCAGGCTGTCTCTTCCCTATTCCCAAACCACCTCTCAGCACCAGAGCGCAGGGGGCAGAAGGGAGCATCCTGCCCGGACAACAGTCCCTTCCCTTGGGGATGGGCACGACAAAGGAGCGAAGGGGCGGGGGAGAGAGCTCTGCACCTTTAAGATAGTGTTTTTAAAGTTAGTTAGTTAGTTAATTAATTAATTAATTCTGGTTAATTACCTTTGTCGAGCAGCCACTCATCTACTACTCGACCAAGCCGGTAGGGGATTCTCTGTCTAGCAATCGCCAGGCGCTCGTTATCAAAGTTTCCTTGGAAAAGTTTAGAAAGACAGTAGGTTTCTCAGGCAGCGCAGTCCAAAGGCTTTAGAACGTTAATTATGCAGTTCTCAGGAGACCCCAGCAAGCAGCCACATCCAACAGCAAGGAGGGAGGCAGGGAGAATGCTGGGCCCCTCCTCTCCCAGGGGCCCCCTCCCTAGGCTCCACCAGAGCCGGCCCCACCCTTGGGGGCGAGAGTAACCCAAAGGAGAGGGACAACCAAGAAAAGGAAAAGGAAGCAGAAAGGAAAAGGAAAAAAAGAACAAACAAAGAAAGAAAACCCCCGCAGCTGGAAGGTCAGAGGTTAAACAAGTTTATCTAGTCAAGCTGTTGAGGCTGAGCCCACTTCCTTCACCACCCCAAAGAGGGGTGGTGGGGTAGGGGCGGGGCGTTTAGCAGGTTTAAGTTAGGGGGCGGTCCAGCTGGTTACTGCGTTTACAGGGTGGTTTAGACGTGGGAGGGGTGGGTTAAGCAGGGTTTATGCAGCATTTAAGGGGGTGCCCGGCACACTCATTTCACTGAGCCTTAAACCACTTCTCAAAGTCATTGCCAGCTCCCATTATCTCCTGGACTCAGCTCCCAGCTGCCCCATCACCGGTTCCCACCTCCTTCTACACCCCTGGCCAACCATACCCTTCCTCCTTGGTCTCTGTCCCCTCACCCCAGACCTCCTCCTTTTCTCCCTGCAAGCTGCTTCTGCCTGCTCACCTGGTCCCGGATCCCTGCACGCCTGGTTGCTGCTACAAAGCAGGGCTGGGGGTGCCCACAGGCGGTGGGGTGAAAGGCCATGCGGAGACGGGGAGCTAGGTGCTTGAACTCTCCCCTGCTCTCGCCTACATCCTGGACCAGCAGCTTCAAGAACACCTTCGCAAGTTCTCCCACTGGGGTTCATGTGTGCATGGGTGCGATCGCTAGGTTCTCTACAGATTCAGGACCTCACTGCTGGTATCTGCTAAGCCTCACCCAGACTGAACCCCCCTTTCCCCACAGCCCTCTCATCCCATCTCCTGTTGCTCTCCTTGGCCATCGCCTGTTCCCTGCTCTGCCCTGGCCTTTACCCCTGCTGTCGTCTTCATCTCAGTCCCGCTTCAATATAGTCAGGCTCTGTGCAAGCCAGGCTCCGCCCCTCTCCATCCTCTGACCCCAGCCTTGGCCACATTTCTCTCCCTCATCGGCAGGCCCTGCCAGCTCCTCAGCCTTTCTCCTTCAAACTCCTTCCCCCAGTTTTAGCTCCGCCCTTCTCCATCCTTGTCTCCCCATCTGGATACCCACCTGTTCTTTCCACTCTCCTACCCCTGAGACAGGAAAGGAGAGAGAGAGAGAGAGAGAGGGAGGGAGGGAGGGAGGGAGGGAGGGAGGGAGGGAGGGAGAGAGAGAGAGAGGGAGAGAGAGAGAGAGAAAGAGAGAGAGTATGCATGCACACCTATGTGGAAGGGGCTTGTCGACGTGCCTTTCAGTGTTTCTCCGTGAACCTACCACAGTGGACAGGGACATGATTTCCTTTGAAAATATGGCCACTCCATTTATTTAAACCACTCGTGCTGAGGCAGGGGCATTCCTCCTGTCTGCACCACATGGCTACAGGCAGGCCTATACCTGCTTATGACTAGCTCTCTGGACTACCTATGCTTATGCTCACGTGCACATGCAGGATGCACCCTTAAGAGCTTTGGGGCAATGGACCCTGCCTTCCCTATAGACTCAGAGAGGTTACATGACTTGGCCCAGGTCATGTTATCTACCAATAGAGATCCAGTATTAGATCTCAGGTTCCACTGAACCAGAACCCAGAGGCTGTGGGAGGCCAGGTATAGTGGTGCACACCTTTAATCCCAATACTCTAAGGGCAGACACCAGTGGGTTTCTCTCTGTGAGTTCAAGGCCAACCTGGTCTTCATAGCAAATTCTAGGCCAGCCAGGGCTACAGAGTGAGACCCTATCTCAAACAAACAAGATAGGTGTGGGGTCACACCTCAGTGCTGTAGTGGCCTCCGTAATAATTTAGGAGCTACCTTCACAGTGCACACAGGAGCAACCAAACCCTCATGAGACCCAGATTTAGCTGGTAGTGGTGGCACACCCCTTTAATCCCAGCACTCAGGAGGCACTCTGTAAATTCCAGGCCAGTCTGGTCTATATAGTGAGTTCCAGGACCCCCAGGGCTATGTAAAGAGCACCTGCCCCCATCCCCAAAAAGATTAAAAGATACCCAGATTTGCAAGAAAGGAGTGACATACACCTTTCCCTATCCCTATCCAGGGGCTCTGGCAGAGGAGAGCAGATAGCATGCCTCCCTCCTAGGCTCTGGCCTGCTGAGGTGATCCTCTGGGCATAAGGCCTGACTGGGCGTGGTGAACTCTTCATACCCCGTCCAGCACAGGCCAATGTCTTCACTATTACAAAGGACTGGACCTGTTCCCCTGAGACAGAGAGAACTCTGATGCCCTAGGCTGTCAAGGTCTGCTGTGGCTAGGAGAACAGGGAGCACAGGCCTATGTGGGAGAGTTAGCATGTCAGACCCCACACACACCCAGGGTTTTGGGGTAGACGAGCATCCCGCTACAGAACTGTTTTCTTGTGGATCCATGTCACTGTCTGAATGTCTGAGGTCATCTGAATATCAGGCTGACCTACAAGTATGTCAGCCTCTGTTTGCTAGGAGGATGTGGGGAGTTCTTATCTCAAGGGACTGTGAGTCCTGAGCCTGTCTGTACTGGCTTCTGTGTTTTAGCATGAGTGAGCCTGAGGGTTTGTCCTGCTCATGTCTGTCACTCTGGCGAGGACAATGGAGGTCACAGGTGGTCATCCTGCTACTCAGTGGGGTCCTGTGTGACAGGCAGCAGGCATGCACAGCTCTGAGTCCCTGGCCTTCTCCCTGCAGTGTTCCTCCCTCCCTCCCTCCCTCCCTCTTGGTCTGCCTCTTGCAGGGCTCTGTCCACCTCTTCTCTCCCTAGCTGAGTCTGTGTCAGCATCTCCGCATCTCTCTGCATCAATCCTGGAGCTGCCTCCATCTCTGCAGATGTCTCTGTGACTATTTCCAGAACCCTCCATCACTCCTCCTCTGGCTTCCTCTCACCCTAAGGCTCCCTCCTGTGCTTCCAACCCCCACCCCATGGCCTCATCCTCCTCCCTCCCCTGGGTTCCTAAGACCTTGATTTGTCCTTGACCACCACTGTGGTTCTAGGAACTAAGTCTCTCTGTGTCTTCATCTCTGGGTTCCCAGGCCAGGCACAGATCCTGGCACCCTTCTGTGTTGCCTGTGATGGCTACTGAAGGTGTCTGACCCTCCTTTGAACTCTGTCTTTTCTCTCTCCCTTCCACCGTGACCCCTTACTGCCTGAAACACTGGGATCCTGTCTCTAGGCATCTCTTCTCTCCAGCATCTCCAGAGGTTGACTTTGGGTCTTTGTCTGGTTCTGTTCTGGGGAATGGTTTGCCTCCTGCCAAGATGTGTTTATTAACTTGTGAATCTCTCTCCTAGACTTCTGCATGGATCTCACCGTTTCCACCCTGCCCTCTTTTCTAAATCTACCTTTCCTCAATGGTATCAGACATCCCCTAATTCTACCCTCCTTTGTCTTCTCTGCCCATTCTCAAGCTGGATTCTGACCTTGCAACCTCACCCAAATAATATCCTCCCCCCAAATCACCAGCTTACCTCTGGACCCTCACATCTCTTTTTTCTTAGCCACGCCCCCACCTGGATTTCACCCAATCGTTTCCATAGCCACGCCCTTTCCCCCCCCCCAAGCCTCTCCACTTAGCCACGCCCCACAGCATTCCACTCAGAGGCTGCCTGACCCCACCCTGTACCACCTTGTTGCCGCTCTTTCTCCGCAGCGGATCTGTGCCACCTACCTGCTGGGTACCGTTCGTTGACTGGCCAGCTGTCCACCTGCAGGGTGGCATTGCCACCACTTCGAGTAAATCGCACCACGTGATATTTGCCGTCACTCACGATGGCGTTGGGCTCATCAATGGTAATGTCGTCGGTGCCCACATTAAAAATCACCCCAACAGTGCCCTGGTCCTGGGGACGGGGAGGGAGAGGTCAGCAATGGGGAGGAGGCCAATATCTATTCCTGTACAACTCTACAGAGAGTTCCCAAACCCCTCTCTCAACAGCCTTATACGGATCCCTTTCCACTCCCTAGGGCTGCAGAACCCATCATGGAGCCCTTTCCATTCCCTAGGGCTGCAGAACCCGTCATGGAGCCCTTTCCACTCCCTAGGGAACCCGTCATGGAGCCCTTTCCACAAGTCCCCTGTCTCTTGCCCTCAGGCTCATCCAGAATATTTGGAGATGTGTCCTGAGCACCTATGCTATGCAAGGGCCCCTAGAGTCCACATGGGGACGACAAGGAGGTGGAGGCCTCCCTAAGACATCACAATAGGAGGGTTCACAGTCTCGGAGGCCAGGATGAACCCCCAGACCCCAGTCTGGTACCAAGACTGACCTCTGACCTCAGCAGCTATGGAATCGGGGTAGCCTAGACTCTGGAAGCGGGTGAGGGGCAAGGGAAGAAAAGCGAGTCATAGAGTTATGCCAGCTTTATTAAAGGAAGGTCTTGGGGTGTTGGGGTGGGACTGGGGGCTTGAGGGAGCAGGCAGAAGACAAATAAAGACTAAGGCCTGCAGAAAGGAAGCAAAGAGCCCGCAACCTCAGGAACCAGACACACAGAAAACCCTGGAGAGGCCACCTGGGGTCCAACCCACAATAATTTGGCCAGTGGTGCTAAAGTGAGAGGAGGGGTTTTGCTGAGTCCACAAGAGCACACACAGTAGCCCTGGGGGAACCTGCAGAGTCACATTTTACCCGGGAAGAAACTAAGGCTGGGCTTAAGGACTGTCTCAGTCTCAGCTCACAAGAGAGGACCCAGCATCTGAATCCCAGCTGGCCCGCCTCCAAAACCCTTGCTCTTGTCTCTAGTCTACTAGTCTGGAAGACACTCTTTCAGAGCTGAGGGGTGCAGCATGAGAGATGCTAAGGCTATCCTGCCTTCAGGTCCACGGTGTCTCACCACACCGGTGGAAGGCCCACTAAGCCCTAAGCTAATCCCCTATACCTCCCAGCAGCCATCATGAACACAGCAAGAATCAGCTCCTGACCCTCCTCCCACAGGACAAGGAGGTGGAGGCTCCTTCCGGCCCCTGGAGCACTCTCAAGGACCCAGTCTAGTATACGAACACAGTGAAAGACCCCATTCCAGCCTGAGCAAGAAAACCCTTTGGTTGTCAGCTACATCTAAAGAGAGCTGAAAGCCTGGGGGTGCGGGTAGGGAAGGCACAGCCAGGTGAGGGCTGGGCTGAGGGGCAGGACAGAGTTGAAGACCAGGGTATGCAGCTATGGTCCCCATGGCTATCTATTTCCCACTTGTGGGGTTCAGTTCTCCCCATCCTAAGATCGGTAACAAGCCACACACACCTGTATGCACACACATGTGCACACACACTGTCATCCACCTCCAAGGAGGTAAAGTAAGGAAACTGAGGCGGCCTTGCCGAACAGCCTTAGCAAGCCCCGCCCATGCACCACCCACAGACCGACAACATCCCCAGGGAAACGCGATCATCATCTGCTCCCCACACAGGCAAGGGAACAGCCAAGCCTCCTGGTTACTATTGTTAGGAATGATACCACCCAGAATAGTATCAGCCCCTTGGATGTCTCTGAGGGCTCCTCCCCCTCACGAGGCCCCGCCTGGGCAGCGACAATGGTCAAGGGCGCTGGCAGACTGGGAGTTGGACTGGCAGAGGGCTGGCTAGAGGAGCTGGAAGGCAGGACACCTGGGTTTCCTAGGAGGCAGCCAAGCTTGGAGCTGTGCACTCCGGGGGAGAGGCAGCTCCCCAGAGCTGCTTCCGATGTGAAGTCAGTTGTCACTTCTGTTAAAGTCATTAATTCCTAATTCCCCAATTACCTCATTAGGCGGCGGTGGGGAGAACGCGGCCGCTCCTACAGCAAATAATTATGGGAGTCAAAATTAATTTGGCAAAGTGGAGCGACGCTTTATTAGAAACGTCAAATTGCTTTTCTCTTATTTTGCTGCCGCCTCCCCACTCTCTGAGAACTGCTAACGACGCCATGGTGGGAGCTGATGTGTCACTGGGGGAGGAGGGGGCTTGGGGCTGCCCCCAAGGGGCTCGGAGCCCATCTGGTACCCAACTCCCCCTCACTGCCAGCCTCTCCTGGGACCTCCACCCTTCTCAGCATCCTCCCCCATCCTCTGCAGCACCTAGGCCTAGCTGCCTCCCTCACAGCCCTGCACCAGGGGAGGCTTGAGGGAAAGAAGAAGGACATCTCACCTCACAGACTTCCTGCCCTTCCTGCTCTGGGAGGACGCATCATCCCCTAACCCTGCAAGCCCAGACTCGCACACACTGCCCAGGTGGCTAGTCGCAGGTGACCAGGACGCTGCAGGTCTCCTAAGTGCAGGGAGCACATCACACATGTGACCTAATTAAGCCTCTGCCCTCTCAGTGTCCCACACACCTGGGGAAACTGAGGCTCAGAGAGCTGCAGGGACTTGCATAGACACAGAGCAAAGAAAGAGAATGTACTGGGCTTCAAACTCACTCATGCCATCAACTCCAAAGCCACACACGCCCTCACAGACTGGAGAGAGGACTAGCTCAAACAGACAACTCAAGGAAACCATGTGGCACCACACAGATCGGCTACTGAGGCTACAGCAAACTCCACTCCCTGAAGAACGGTAAATGCATAAGCCACATTCTGCCAGGGACCACTGGCCCAGGGACACCCTGGTCACCTCGACTCACAGCCATCTCTCTCGTCACAACAGCTACATACCCACCATGGCCCTGCTGCCCACAGGTTTGAGGCCTCTTCCCAACCCTGGCTCCAGCCCACTCCCTATGCTTTCCTCCACGCCCTTCCCTCCTGGGAACCTCGCCTGTCACTTGCCACTGCCACCAGCCATGCTTGCTTCCAGGATGCCTTCCCCTGGGTCTTCTCCCTTCACAGCCCAGTATTGGAGGAGGGGTGCAGACCTCCACCTGGAGAGCTGTTGTGTGGGAGGGGCCATCCTTACTCAGGTGAGGAACTAGCCTCCTTCTCTGTTTTTCCTCTGCCCTCCCAATTCTTCCCAGGGCTCCCCAACTGGCACAGAGCCTCGTCAGCCTGTCCTACCCTCAAAGCTCAGGGCTCTGGCCAGGGCCAGCAAGTGGGATGCAAACAGGAAGGTGAGGGAGAAAGGAGCCCAGTACAGAGATGGAGACTGAAGTCAGGGTCTGGGACTTAAGACCTTGGAGGAGGAAGAGGTGAAGGAGAGGTTAAACTCAGAAATGAAATCTGACAAGGTCAAAGGTCACAGGAAAGGTATAAGGCAGGTCAGAGGTCACAGGGAAGAGTGTGGGGTAGGGCCAGAGGTCACAGGGGAGTGAGACAGGGCCAGAGGTCACAGGGGAGTGGGACAGGGTCAGAGGTCACAAAGGAGTGGGACAGGGCCAGAGGTCACAGGGGAGTGGGTTAGGGCCAGAGGTCACAGGGAAGGGTATGGGGGTGGGGTCAGAGGTCACAGGGAAGGGTATGGGGTGAGGTCAGAGGTCACAGGGAAGGGTGTAAAGCAGGGCCAGAGGTCACGGGGAAGGGTGTGAGACAAGGTCAGAGGTCACAAGGTAGGGTGTGGGACAGGGTAAGAGGTCACAGAGAAAGGTATGGACAGGGCCAGAGGTCACAGGGAAGGGAATGGGGTGCCATCAGAGGTCACAGAGTAGGGTGTGAAACACGGTCAGAGATCACAGGGAAGGGTGTGGGGCAGGGTCAGAGGTCATGGGGAGAAGTGTAAGGTACACAGAGTAAGAAAGGAAAAGGGATAAACTGACTATAGACTAATGGGGTGTGGGGCTCAGCTGGGAGACCAGTGAGGAAGGAACATGAGCAGAATCTGTGGGAAAGACCTGGTCAAGGGTCTGCTGGGAATGCAAAGGTCATGGAACAGAGGTCGCAGGTAAGGTAAAGGCAGGGGTGGGATTCCAAGTCAAGGCAAAAAGGCAAAAAGGGACAGAGAGGTGTGAGGGAGGAGAGGGACAGGCTGGGGTACAGTGAACAGAAGCAGCCCAGAGACACCCTAAAGATGAGCACATTTCTGCAGGTTACAGTAGTAGGTGTCTGGGGAGCTCACAGACACCTTGGATGGCTGGGAGACACAGCTGGTGTGTATATCAGATGGGTGACTCTTGAGTGACCAGGAAGGGACTGAGTCTCAAAAGAACTTCAAGAAATGGGTGAGTAGGACCCTAAGTGCTCCCCATGAGGGACAGATATGAAGTGGCATCAACAGCGGAGCTGGGTGGCAAGGAGAGGGGCTGGGCCCAGGTCCTTACAATGTGCAGCTGCAGGTAGTCCCCAAGGCCGGAGGCGCTGTCCACTCGCACCAGTACGGCGCTCCGCTGATGGGTGCTGAAGCCCACAGCCAGGCGGTCCATCCTCGTGCTGGGCCGGTCATTCGGGGGCCACGTGTAGGTGATGAGCGCCCCCCCCTTCCCAAAGATGTATGTGGTCCCAGCTGCAGAGAGAAGGAAATGGAGAAGAAACGTCAGCAGGTTCCTGTGGTTGAATGGGGCCAGAGCCTGAGGATACCAGGGTCAGGGCACAAGGCTTCAGCGATGAAGCCCATGGGAGCCACCAACCCTGTAATTCCGGATGCTCAAGTGAGAACCTGTGCACATACACGCACACAGACAGAAGCCTAGCTTTAATTACAGCAATACAGGTAACACAGGGTGTGAGCAGAGAAAGGCTTCAAAAAGACCCAGACAGCAAGAATGCCCTGTGCAGGAAGGACCTGAGACCTGCTTTTGACCAGCTCAACTTCTCCCAAGTGCTTCTTTGGGACCAGAGCCAAGCATCAGAGGCAAGAGGGAGTCTCAAGTGATGGCGGGAAGATGAGCAGGGCTGTGGGCAGCTGTGACTCATGCTCATCTCTGGCACCTTGCCAACGCCAGCCCCTCCGTCCTTTCCCAGCCCCCTGGGAATCTTCCTGGTTTGTCCAGGGATCCTTGTTTCCACCCTCAGGCAAGGGTACCTGGGTGCCAACGCCCAAAGGCCTGGAATCCTGCCCAGAAAGGAGGAGGCAAACATGGGGGGGATGGGGAGAGTTGACAGCCAGAGGAGGAAGGAGGCAGAGAGACAGATGGACAGAGAAGGACAGAGAGTAGGTGAGAGAAGCAGGAGAGTGGGAGCCTGAGATGTAGGCTCCCTCGCCCAGCCCTCCCCCACCCCACCCTCTCTCTTCTTCTCCCTCTCCTCTTCGCCATCCGGCTGCCGGGGGCGGGTGTGAGGTCCCTAACGATCTCAGCCCCAAAATAAACCCCATTAGTCGCCATGTTCCCTCCTGCGGCTGACTGAGCTCCCTGGGGGTGGAGGTGGGAGTGGGAGGGGGGCTGGTCACCCAGTTTCCGGGAAGGGAGCCTTGTCTGGGGGCCTGGAGGACTAGACTCTTGGGCCTGCAGGAAGGGAAGGGGAAAGCCTCATCTTGCATTCTTTAGGACATAAACACAGCAGATGAGATTCATAAAGTGCTTGATTAAATCATTAGCTACTAACGACTCCTCTCAAGGCACTTCTTGGGGTGCAGAAAGGGGTTCAAGGGAAGACTTGGCCAGAGAGAAAAAGATGCAGATGGGGCCTGAGGGTAGAAGCTGGGGCAGACCAGTAGAGAACCCAGAGGTGGAGAACTCTGGTCTGGGGGAAGCAAGGACCAGGGGTCTCTCACCCAGTAGCCCCCTTATAGTCCAGGCAGTCATCCTAGGAACTCTAGGTCCCCATAGGAGCAGGGACTTCTGCGTGCCTTGGAGTGGGTCCTCACTAAGTGTGGAAGGCCGGGAAGGGAAGGGAAAACTGCAGCCTGGGTACCAGAGGTGGTGAGACTAGAGTGGAGAAGGGACCCATCCCTGTCGCTCCCCAGACCACCTACCTTGTCTTCTACCTCCCAGATAGAGAAGAAAATGGGAAGGGACCCCAGGAGAAGGGCAGACAGGGAAAACCCACAAGGACGTCTAAAATGGCCCTCTTTTTGCAGACTGTAGTTTGGAAAGCACCCCAGCAGACAGCGGGGAAACCAGCTCTGCCCCTGCAAGCTGAGGTGTCCCTTCCCCCTACCTCAGGCCCTGGAGGCACAGTGGGGAAGGTTGGGCCTTGGGTTGAGTTCCAAGTTTAGAGTAGAGAGCCGGTTCCAGCGAGGGGTGTACAGTGAACGTCACCTCTACACTCAGTGCAGGTTACCTGCCTGCCTAGAAAGGACTGGGCCTGGAGGCCAGAACCAAACAGCTATGCCTCAGCCAGTACAGTCTCCCAGCTCCCAACACTGCAGCACTCCAGAAAATCGGCTGTTTCCATGACAACCATAATACCCAGGGTCCTCCCTCTACCCTCCACTCACAAGCTACGCGTAGAATTTAGGGGGTAGGGTTGGGGGAGCTGAGATGGTGACCTTCCTCTACACACTCCCTGACCCCTGGGCTCCAGGGTCTCTCTTGGTCCTCTCACACCAGGGAAGGAACACCAGACTCACACATTTGCGTGGGGTCTGCCCCCAAACCTGCCAGGTCTAAGGAGGCGGCCCTTCCTGCGGGTTTTCCCGGTGGATGCCACACAGCACGCTCATCACCATGGATAGCGCCGAGCCAGAGCCGAGAGCACCCGAACAACTCAAACCAGGTGCCGGGTTAGACGTGGCAGCGGGAAAGGTCTGGGATGCGTGCCCACAACCCAAGTCCCAGGCCTTACAATCAGACACAGCTCCAAGTATCACACACCTAGACCTACACCAGCGCACGGGAGGCGACGCACCCAACTGCACACAAAGCCCCAGACAGGAGAGGCAGACCCCATCACAGGAGTCGCGGCACGGGGGGAAACATGGCGATAAACGCACAAAGACAGGCCTCCGCGGGCGGCCAAGGGCAGGGGCCGGCGAGGTGCGGATGGGCGCCTGCGCCCCAGTCCTCCCATTCCCCAGCCCCGGCCGCCCCCAGGATTTATGATCCAGCTGTTCTCACACTGCAGACAGTTTACTGTGCTGGGCGGACCTGTTAAAGCCGAAGGGCGTTTATTATACTGTGGGGGGAGCCAGGTTGGAGAGACACTTCTCGGACAGAAGAGGGGAAGGATGAATGGTTTATTGGGCTGGGGCTGCAGTAATTACCCCGGGGAGACATTTCTCTCTCCAGCACCACGGATTCCGCACGGGCGGGGACAGGGGGCTTGGCTTAAGGAGGAGGTCGGGTGCAGGAGGCGGGGCTTCTGCCAAGTCCCGCCCCTCTGGCCACGCTCGGGAGGCGCTTCCCGCACCTCAGCCAGGCAAGCAAACTGTCCCTGGCCCTGCCCCGGACTCCACCAAGAAGGCAAGGCAGCCTTAGTGGCCAGGACAACACTCCAAGTCTTGACAGCATCCAGAAAGGATCTGAGAAGCAGGGGGGCCTAAAGCAAGCCCCAGTATTGCCCAAGGCTGGTGTAGACCAGTTCTTTTCCACGCTGGGAAATAGGGAGCCCACTGTACATAGCATGCTGGCCAGACCCACATCACTGAGGCCCACGGCAAGAGAGTTTCTAATCAGACATAATATGCCATAGGCCCAAGATTAGCACCTTCTGCCCACAGCCAACACAGTTTCCTCAGTGCCTCCTAGATCCTGAAACTCAGTCATAAAATACTGGAAATGATCATTAGTCAACACACACACACACACACCTACAGTCTAGAGAGAAAACAGCCAGCCAACCATTAACAATGGTTAGGGAACCCAGACTCACAACAAGTCATCCCATGTAAAAACCACCCATGCAGTCATGCCCCAGGGCCAAAAGTACATGTGTAGCCGCTATGCCTGCCAGTGCCCCAGTAGCAACAAAAGCCTTCTGAAGACCTAGAATGGTCAGATGATCCTGTAGAACCCAGAAAAGCCTGCATCTCAGGTGCTCACCAACAAATCTTCCCAGGAGGACCGCTACAGTCAGGGGGTGGGGCTACACAGGTCCAGACCCCTGAACTCAACTCTATGGGTTTTTTTTATTTGTTTTTTGTTTGTTTGTTTGTGGTTTTTTGGTTTTTGTTTGTTTGTTTTTGGTTTGGTTTGTTTTTTTTGGTTTTTTTGTTTTTTTTCTCAAGAGACAGGGTTTCTCTGTAGCTTTGGAGCCTGTCCTAGAACTAGCTCTTGTAGATCAGACTGGCCTTGAACTCAGAAATCTGCCTGTCTCTGCCTCCCAATTGCTGGGATTAAAGGCTTGCACCACCACCACCCGGCTTCAACTCTCTGTTTATCTGCATACCTCCTCAACTCCTAACGTCATTCCTGGCCATACACTGTTCAGTCAGTTCCAAGTTGACATACCCATCCCCAGAATCAACATATATGTTAGCCCCCATAACCAACACACATGATAGTTCCCAAAATCAACATATATGATAGCCCCTAGAACCAACACACAGGATAGTCCCCAGAATCAACACACAGGATAGCCCCCAGAAACAACACACATGATAGCCCCCAGAATCAACACACATGATAGTCCCCAGAATCAACACACAGGATAGTCCCCAGAAACAACACACATGATAGTCCCCAGAATCAACACACAGGATAGTCCCCAGAAACAACACACATGATAGCCCCCAGAAACAACACACATGATAGTCCCCAGAATCAACACACAGGATAGTCCCCAGAAACAACACACATGATAGTCCCCAGAATCAACACACAGGATAGTCCCCAGAATCAACACACAGGATAGTCCCCCTTGTGCTGGAAGCTCCTGACTCAGAAATGAGCTGGGGTTGGGTCTTCTTTGACCGACTCCTGGGGGAGCTAGGAAGGAACTGAGAGAGCACCCAGGATTCAGAAACCAGGACCGGGACAAGGATCCATGGCCAGAAAGGTGTCATCTCCACCTGTTTTAGGTCCCAGGTGTACTGGTCACCCCATACCCCACAGTGACACCAGTGCAGAAGTGTCAACAGTGTTTGGCAGGTGGGTTGGAATATTATGCAACAAGAGTGGTTGGGGGATGGGAGGGAAAGTGGGGAAGCAGTGAGGAAGGAGGAGAGTCAAGGGGAGCCTCAGTAGAGAAGCATGAAGAGAGGTGTCCTCACACTGAGGGACCTTGGAGCAGAAGGAAACATGGCTGGCCTCCAGCCCGGGGAGGAGACCCCAGGAAAGTTGGCTCTCTCATCTCCCCCAGAGTTCAGGTGAGCAGAGATGGGGTCGGTCATGACAGCTTGTTTCCTCCTCTCCTGGCTTTCCTTAGCCCCTTCCTTCCTCCCTGAATCTTTCCCAGCTGTCCACTACCTCCATCAGTGTCCCAGGCTGCCCTCCATCCCATCGTCTAGTCCCTTCTACCCTGAGAAGACATCCCTAAGGTAATGTTCATGCAATACAACATAGTTCTGTCAGATCCCCATTAGCTAGGCCTATGTCCCTGCAGCATCAGGGGCTGTGAGGAGGACCTTCCGGGAGACCTAGGACGGTAGAGGGATAACACATCCTGCACAAATCAGGAAAGCCT